ACCACAAGAACCACACCAACGACAACAACACCACCAGCACCAGCACCAGCACCAGCGCCACCGCCACCACCACCACCACCACCACCACCACCACCACCACCACCACCACCACCACCACCACCACCAAAGCGTCTGGGCCCGAGCCGTGTTCTGTGCCCGGGGCTGTGTGTGTTTTGTTCCCTTCCCCCCTTGGGTTGCCCCCCCCCCCTTTTGGTTCAGGGCTCGGATTACACGCCATTGCGCATCTTTCTCCGGTGCCTCTGACTTGCTGGCGCGGACACATGCCAGCATGGACGCTGGCAGAAGTCATACTGGTGCTGCTAGGACTGCAGATCAGGACCCACGCTCTCTGGCGCAAATCTGGCTGGACGGAGACGCGGCGCAACGAGATACCAAGAGCCTTGCCTGCACTATCAAGCTTAAAGGAATCCGATTTCCCAGAGCATGCTACGACCCCCCAAAGCCCGCCATCGTTGGACCTACGCAAACTGATGCCCGGCGACATGCCCGAGCACTGGCGACTGGCTCCACAGACATGGTCCGACGTCATGGAGATGATACAGACGCCAGCGCTCTGGATAAGGCCTCCCCCGCGCATCGGAAGCAGCACCACTACCAGCACAAGATCGACCTCAACAGCCTGGACTAAGGTACCAACTTGGTCTTCAGCCGTGCCTCAGGATAACAATCTCGGACTGTGCTTAGGAGTGCACAATACGGCGCGGTGCTGGAGGTTCCCCTCCGCCTGCTGCCTTGCCATACCCCACTCAGTACTCCAGGCCACACACTCCCCAGCCCCAGCACTCTGGAAGCGTAGCAAATGGCCATGGCACCCAGAGCGGCCCTGTCCACACCGCCGAACGTGCGACTCCCCGCTCTGCCCTACTTGCCTATGCCCCTGCCCAAACATTTGTAATTTGATGCAGGTACAAGCTTTGTGCGCCGCTCCACGTGCCATCGCTGATAGCCAAGCAGCCGCAGGAGCCCGGCCGAGGTTTACATGTAAAATAAGGGATATATGCGCAATCAATACAGCCATAGACCATTTCCCGATAGCCAAGTCCCTGATCACCGCACGATGTTGGCCTGCCATTACCTTACAGAGCTCCGCAGACGTCAGAGGTTCATCCACAGAGTGCTGGTTTACAATCATAGACCATGCGCCCAGCGCCAGCATAGATCCCCACCGCCTTAACCCTGCTGTTAAAGTCGGTTCCACTACCCTTGCGCTTCAGGGTCGGGGTTTGGACTCTTGCCAGTGCCGCGGCCGACAAATGGCCCGTGGAAGGCGCGATACCCGCCGGAAGAGGCCCCGAGATGCCACGCGTGAGGCGGAGAGACCTCCGAAACACATGAGAACAGGGGCTGCCCGCACACCCACAGCGGGCGTAGAGGAGGTCAGCTCGGAGACATCGAGTGTGGAGTGTCAAGAACGAGCCCCCGATCGCGCTAGACCGCAGACGCTTTACGGCGCGGGAGATGCACAGCTGGATGCGGAGACAAGGGCCAGACTGGATGATGCCACCAGGGACCTGCTTGGCTCACAGGAGAGTCGCACCGCGATCGAGCTCATGAATGCAGAGACCACGGTCACACCGCGATCCCACTGGCAGGCCATGGCCCACGCTGCAGACACGGAAGACCCTGCATTCACCTCCGCGGATCTCAGGCGCGAGCTGCCCCCCGATGAATTCCTTGCTATCGCTGCCTCCTTAGGGCGCAACTATGCCTTGGCCGATCCTACTCCCTCTTCTGCAACTGGCTCTCGAGACGGTACAGGACCGCCCAGCGCGGAGCCCCGCTCAACTGGTCCGGGGTAGGCTGCAGACAAAGGCAACGATGCCGGTTGAGGCGGGGACGACGACAGCGCCAAAAGCTCCGGACGATGACAGGTCCAGGCCGCCCGCAGAGCCACAGGAAATCGAGCCGAAGGCCAGGTCTTCTTTGCCAAGTGAGGCGACAGATCCAGCCAGAATGACTTCGGAGGAGGACATGGTCGGTGCGGGTGAGACAGTGGCACCACTGGCTTCGGAGACAGCACCTGCGACACCAGAGGCGGTGCCATCTCAGGCACTGCCGGAGCTACATCCTGGGAATGCAGGCAGCACATCTGGATCTGCACTGGGGCCGGTGCCTCCCTCGCCGGATTGGCTTAAGGCGGAGACGGTTTGGGTGCTCACTATGATGGATCAGGCAAGATCCAGCAGAGCAGACATGGGCGAGATAGAGTGGCACTCACGAGGGACTATCACGCCACCGAGCGCTTTCGAGATGACTCCCGACCAGGCCGACTTCTGGCGACGCATCGACAGCGAGGAATACATGTGCCAGAGTGTTGAGTCGGGTTTTCGGGGTTTTCAGGGCAGTTCAGGGATCCGAGGCTCCACCCAAGGTTCCATTAATACCTCAATCAAGTTGCACTTGCAGGACTGTGCACCCAAGCAAAGCACGGGCCCCATGGATCGAACACATGCAGCGCCTCAGGGTTACCATCCTCCTGTTAAGCCCCACTCCCTCCGTGATAGGCCCGGTACCCGAGTTAGAGCCCGCGCACAAAACCCCCCATCCAGGGGCCCTCTGCCGCACTGCCAAGTAGTGGGAGCTCACATTCGGCAACCCCATCCTACCAGGATTGCTGCACGCCGTCTTCTCGCGCTGGAGACCAGCGGGTCACGCAGGCACATGTGCAGAAGCCATTGCCCCACTGCCCCAAATAGCGATGCGCAGTCCCGACTTAGAAGAACACCCCCACCATCTCCCAGGGTTCTTAGCCGATTCCCTTGGCGCTTTCAGGTGTTTCTAGGCCCTTCCTGCCACACCCGCTGCCCTAAGTTCCACCCCACACCTCGCCCCCGTCCTACCTTGCGGTGCTTTCACACCCATGTACCCACACTCATGCGCACTAGAAGGTTCCAGCTACACCCATGGGCACGCTTGCGGCACCGCAGGTGTCGCTACTGCAGAGGTCGCGCAGCAGGAGGACCTGTCCTCAGCCGCCACCGGGCTATGCACTGGCCTGCCGCACTGCAGACACCGATGTGCTGTATGGACGCACTGACCCCCTGGCACCTCCTGCGAGCATGCCGAGGTCGATACGACTGGCGCACTCATCCACTGGACGATCTCTGGCAAGGACGGCTGGTCCCTCAGATCTGGCACTATCATCTTCGGGTGCCCCACGTTGTCAGCCCCCCGTGCTCCGGAGACAAGCTTTTTAGGACACCCCCAACCGGGAACACACACGTTAGCACCACAGTCGAAAGACACACACATCATGGCCCCCCCGGTCCCAAGTCCGGGGAATGTTCCAGATATGCCATCAAACGCCCACAGAACTGGCTCAGACTAGGCGTTTTCTACACACTTATCCAAAGGACATCTGGAGCATTAGACGCGAGGGTTGTCACGTCAGCCCAGGGCGTGACTGAAGCGGGCCCGTTCCGCATGGCCCCTTCACGCTGCACCGCAAAGCTTCCGTTGGGCACACAGGCGACACATGCGTCGCACCCACAGGGCTCATCAAGGGTACACAAACGCTCCTACATCAGAGCGTTACGCAGAGCTCGGGATCAGGGCGGAGCATGGTATCGCGGTAGATGGATCACACACGACCCGCAGTATCAACCCGACGATCCCATTGTCAATAAGCGAAAAGTCAGTAGCCCGGATTATGCAGCGACTCGCACCACTAAGCACTACGAACTCTTCACCTGGAACACGGGCGGCCTGGGCGGAGGGCTGTATGACGAATTTCTTCTGTTCCTCAAACGCTCGGCCTTTGACGTAGCCCTATTACAGGAAACGAAGTGGAGATTTGAGTCACAGTGGGAGGACGACACCCACTACTTCATCCACTCGGGCACCAGCGCCAAAGATCATAGTCACGCTGGCCTGCTCACTGTCATTTCCAAACGCATAGTTGACCCCGGCTCGCTGAGGTTCATCTCTGCCATTGATGGCCGAATACTCCGCGTGCAATTCAAGCATGGGCCACGACAGGTGGACGTCATCAACTTCTACCAACACACCTGGAGGCCCACGGCCCACGTCCAATCATTGCGTCACAAGGCCTGGGATGTTCTCAATCAGCAAGTACAGGCTGTCCCGCTCCGTAGCAGACTGCTCCTTGGGGGGGACTTCAACACCCCGCCCACCGTCGGACCGCCCCACACTGGCCGACACATCCTGCACAAACCAGATCATGGAGTTCAGGACGCTGATGACTTTGCAGCCTTCCTTAAGGGCCTTGACTTGGTCTTACTAAATACCTTTGCGCAGCACGCCCCCCCACACACCTATCAGTGGAATGCGCAGAAATCACAGATCGATTTCTGGATCACACGCAGGTTGCAAGCCGGGGGCCTTGCCCGCTGTGCATACCCACTTCAGCAGTATCACGTAGGGCGTTGGAGGGGAGGACCCAGACACCTCCCTGTGTGTGCTAAAGTGATGTACCACTGGCAACCATGGGAACATCGTAAACTTCAGCAAACCATGGGCCAAACAGAGGTTGATCGCATGGAGATTCTCAAAGCCTGCCAGGATGAACACGACCCCAGGGTCGCAAGATTCCGCACAGAAGTTCAGGAGCTGACCGCCAAGCACACTCTCACTGTCGAGACGCTGCAAACCCACATCTTCAACATAGCCCGCAGGATCTTCCCCAAACGCCCCCCCCAGAAATCCGTCAAACCGTGGCAAGACGGCACCATGATAGGATACGCCGACACCATGTGGGGCCACTTCCGCGCACGCGCGGCCATTGTCCGCAGGTCCCTATAGGTAAGCCCTCCCTTGCTGAGACGTTCAGAATCTGGAAACATACCCTGTTCTTTCAGAAACTGCACCGCGCTGCCCAGGCCCGAGGTCGACTGCTACGACAGCAGCGCACTGCGAGACTCCTTGAGGCCGCGCGTAAGGCTGCCACAGATAAAGACTTCCGCACCCACTATAGGCTCATACAGGAACTCGCCCCCAAGGCTACCTACAGGAAGTTCCAGCTCAGACTGGATGGGCAACTCCTTACGCCCGAGGCTGAGCTCCGTGAGATGCGCAGGCACTTCGAGCAGCTGTACAAAGCGTCGTCCGCCAATCCACAAACCTTTGTTGCGACAGCTGCAGATGTAGAGGTCACATCACATGAGGTCCAGGAGGCCATTGAAGACTTGTCCGCTTCTAAAGCAGGTCTGCCGGGCTCGTCCCCCGGGGCCGTCTGGAGGCTCTGTAGTGATCAGGTCGCACACATAGTCGCGGCGGATCTCACGCACAGATGGCGCGCAGGAAGTGCCGGCGTCCCCGCAGATTGGTGCACGGCCAGCCTGGCCCTCATCCTTAAACCTGGCAAACCAGGCACCACCCCGGGACACTACCGCCCCATAGGACTGATCGACGCTCTAGGGAAAGCCTCCATCAGCATGCTGTTTAGGAAAATCAAGCATGACCTTGAGACATATGTCCTTGATTCCCCTCAGTATGCGTACGTCAGTGGGCGCTCCACCCAGGAGGCCCTACGCCGTGTGTTCTACCATTGTCATCAGGCGCAAGACCTTAGAGATAACAATAAACGGACGGTGCACTCCAAACGAGCGGGTCTCCGCTCTGTCCCGCTGTCCGGCGGTGCCCAGGTGTGCTTGGACATGTCCACGGCGTTTGACGTGATGCCGAGGGAAGAGCTACGTGAGGCCCTGAGCGAGGCAGGTATTGCAGGCAGTCCAGCCGACATTCTGCTGCACTGGATTGATCGTAGCGTATATCGCATACGCATAGGCTTACTCTCCTCTGATGTTCAGTCATCGAGAGGAGTCAAACAGGGATGCCCGGTCTCCCCGCTGCTCTTCGCTGCATTCTCCACCATGATCACTAAACGGTTGGATTCCAAACTGGGCGCTGAGTGGTCCAGGCACCACCTCACCCTTTACGCTGACGATTGGCACATATCCTGCCTCTTCCATTCCTATCCTGCATTTGACAAGTTTGTTCAGTGCTTGGGAGTTGTCCTCAGCACTCTCAAACAACATGGCATGATAGTTAATGCGGACAAGGCAGCAGTGATCATCACCATGCAGGGTGCCAGACGGAAAAAGGCCGTAGCTGAATTCACGCGAATGCACAAGGATCAGAGACACCTTAAAGTAAGATCCACCGGGCAAGACGTTCTCCTACCGATGGTCAGTGAGACTGTTTATCTGGGGACGATAATCTCCTATCGTAACTTCCGTGCCAGCACGCTGGAGCACCGACTCACCAAATGCAAGGCCACGCAAAGCCGCCTCCGCAAGATTCTGCAGGGACGTCGAGGTCTTACCCTTCGACAGCGTGTGCTTCTCTGGCAGTCGACTGTCCTGCCTAGCGCTTTGTATGGACTTGGGGCATGCAGCCTGGACGCTCCACTCTACCAGAGGCTACATCAAGTATTGCTTCGACAGCTTCGAGCCATTGCAAGAGCCCCAGCACATCTGACGCACGAATCAGACCAGGAGCTACTCCAGAGGCTTAATCTCCAGCAGCCCAAAGCCATACTGCTTAAGCACCATAGACAGCTTGAGGCAGGCCGTAACCCCCTTGACACCTACACACAGAGCCCCACGCACCCTTGGATGCGGAGGCTTCTTGCTTCCTGGACCACAGCAGCTGAAACCGACACACAATCACAATCACAATCACGTCACTCACCCGCACCTCGCCCTCCCACGCCGTTTCCCCTCACAGTACCCTCTTCCCAGGTCGCGCCTCTCCAGGACCATGAGACCCTACAGGTCACTGCGCCGGAGAACCCACCGAATGTGAACAGCCTAACGCCGCAGCCAGAATTTGAGTGCCCCCACTGTCCCAAACGCTACGCGAAGCTTTCGACACTTAGATGGCACATGTCTAAAGTCCACAAGCTCAACATGCCAATGATAAAGTTTGATCGGGCCACCCACTCGACCCATGGTATGCCTATCTGTGCTAAGTGCGGAGCGTCTTTCACGTGCTGGGAGACCCTTGAGGCCCACGTGGTCCACCAAAGATGCAGTTCCCTGCTCCCTACTCAGGAACAGACGGAAGATCCTGGCCCCCCCGCACAGGTGCGAGCCGTTCTTGTATCCCCTGTCAGGTCTTGCCGCGAAGGGCACCCCATCGCATCCATGCCGGTGCCTGGGCCACCTGCGACTACCGCTCCTCTAGCCCCCCTACTCTACAGGAGCCGAAGCCTCTGCCTCATCCTCACACGGATGCTCAGGTCTCCGGGACCACAGAGGATGGCGGACGGCCCTCAGAGCCCTTGATGCCCGGACGCGCTCAGCCTAGCCGTACTGACCACAGTGATCAGATTCCAGCGGAGCCTGGAGCCTATAGAGATTTTGCACTCTCCGTTCTGCGTCAACATGGACTTGGCACGCTGTTGCGCTCGCCACTCATGCCGTCACTTGCCTACCACTGTCTTGAGTGTGGCCAGTGGCATGCAGCTACGCACACCATTAAGATGCATTTCAGACGCTCACATCCTGAACTTTTTGCGTTAGGCGCTCAAGCCACCTCGATGGCCAAGAGGGTTGGAGGGTCTCTGTCCCCTTGTCTTTACTGCAATCGACCCCACACCCACCCGAGGCAACATCTTGCGCACTGCGTAGCTTTGTGGCAGGCTTGTGCATTCTCCCTGTTCCATAACCATGGAGCCGCAGATGGCGGACCTCACCATGACGGAGGTGTTCGGACCACTCCTGCGCAAGCGGACGGGCCCCAACTCGGATTCGTCCCAGGCGACTCAGCCGGAGCGCCCCACCAAGGCGGGGAAGCAGAACGACGGAGGCAAGGGGAGGGGGCACCAACGAAAGGGCAGGGAACGCTACGGGAATGGCACAAGGGGTTCGCAGCAGCAGGGACAGGGACAGAACTCGGGCATCAGCAAGGAGAC